TGCTTTACTTACATTTGCTTACTGATCATCTCCGCTTATTGATCAGCTTACTGATCACCTGCTTACTGATCTGCTTACTGATCACCTGCTTATTGATCAGGCTGACTGAGCGTTCATAATACTGCTTACTATACATATAGGATACATATATAAGCAGCTAGTTGTAGTCCTGAGTCCTCAGTTCTTACTGTTGACTTCAGGCAAGTACTTACTTCGCATTTTGGCAATACACAGAGTTCTTTCTGTTGACTTCAGTTCTCTGTGCCTGCGTGATTCTAACAGCTTTTCCACGTGTTTTCTACAACACTGATGTCCTGCTCACAGGATCTCCTCGATGAAGGTCCCTGGGACAAGGCAGCGTAGCGGCTTCATATCACGCAAATCGGTTTAGACAAAGGGGACCACATGCGCGAAAGACGAAAGCTAGACGGTCGCTGCCGGGTAACGGGAAAATTAGCCGTCAACCGGGGGAATTGCGAGGGAACAACTGGAGCGCGCTGCACTGCGCGCATGTATTTCCCCTGGGGTGGTCAGCTGAGTGGAAAGTCAGCAACTACTAGTACAGCCTGCAAAAAATCCACTGATAGATGCTGTCGCAGATGCAGCGAATGTTTAGCACGGACGCCTTGCAGGTGATAAAAAAGCTATCTCTGCACGTCAAGGACTCGAGCGTAAACACTATGCTCATAGATGCCCGAGCCCACGCCTGGTTTGACGACTACTGTTTTGGCATTTGGCCAGTGCAGGAGGATGGCAAATGGTACGGCAAGCTATTCCGATTTGAGCAGAGTCGGTGTGACATCGACGGGTTGTGGCTCCTGGCCGCAGCGCGGCCGCCCAAATATGCCTATCCATCCCTTGGGCAACCGGAGACAGCCGAGCAGCGTGAGCTGCGCAAGATGGACGAGAGAGAGCGGGAGGAGGACAGGACGAGATGCGACCTAACACAGGAGCCGGAGCTCAGGGAACTACTGACAGTGCATTTCAAAACATGTCTTCACTGGCATGTGAAGGGCATGGGGTGGGCCAAATAGATATGGTGTTGTATTTGCTCGTCAATATTCACCGTCACGGGATTTTTGTTTGAATGCGCAACCCACTTTTCCGCCACAGATTTCTGAACACGATGGCGACTTTATTCTTTCCCCTAACTGGCACTGGGCACTGAAACGTTGGTCCTTCAGCTGCGGGAAAGAATTATCAATCACCTTCGCCCGAGGTCGCGACTACAATGGTCAGAAGCACGTTGAAATTGAAACATCTTCTCTTCCCTTGATAATTTCCTACACAAGTCACAAAGATGGGGAAGGCAGGCCGAGGCGGATTGCACATCTAGTAGGTACTTCCGAAAATTTGAAGACATGTTCTGACCCTGGGGCTTGATTTCCACGGCCATCGTCAATAAATTCCCCCCCTTGCGGCGACTCACACGACCGTCCAAGTGACTGGCACCTGGAATATAGATGGTTCAACGGACGGTAGTTATTGGTCGGTTATCCAACGGAGGTAATTCATTCATTCATTCAGAACATTCTACACACGTACTTTCACCTGGCCTTTCTTCTTTTCATCAGCCCAAATGAGCACAATCCAATCTTGCCTTTCTTTCTTTCTTCCCCTGTGCGTCGTTGCTGGGTCCGAAGGAGGGAAAATGCGCACCCACGACCCGGCTTCAGCTTCTCGGATTGAGGATCATATCGATGAGGTTCTGCGCGGGCAGACAAGGGAGGAGGGGCTCACAAAACAGTGTGTTGGTACAGTCATGTACAATCTTCTCGTGGTTCTCCTCAGTTGGGTTTTCCTGACGGAACTAGTTAGCCTGGACATATTTGGGACTCATCGAGAGATTGACAAGCACTCTGGGCTCCTTGGAGGTATTCTCCTTTTGCTTGTTAGACCGTCGTCATTCGGGTGTTTGGCCTGTACAAGAGTAACACCGAGGTCGTTCAAATGCTTAGTGATAGTCCTCGGAAAGCATTTGAAGTGGGCAGTCAGTTGTTGGTGCACACACAGGAGGTTGGAGAGCTTCTTGCTGATTTCCGAATCTTTCATGGTGGTTGGTAGGGAACAAGTTTTGACAAAACAAGAGGTCCGTGCACGGTGGCGGTGCGACGTCCATTTGTTTCTGGCGAAAGCCACCACAAGTCTCGACGCCTTGTCGGTGCCGAGGGCACTCCCGCCGCTAGCAAATGCCAAACACCAAGATGGAGCTGCACTGGACTGGGTAACACCGCTCCGAGAGCCCGCAGACCGATCATCGGCCATTGACCATACACGGGGTCAGCGACTATCGCTCACCGCCGACTTGTAACTCGGAACTGTACTCGCACCACAGCTCCACAACGTGTTGCGTCATCTCCGCAGGCGCAGCTCACCCCACCGACTCGTTGAAGACCTCTATCGCGACGTAGTTCCATAGTGCGTGTTTTTCCTGCTCCTGACTACCCTCACGTTTGCTGACAGTCCCCTCCCTGTAGTGCCTCCCAACTCGACCTTCGCCGCGTCTGCATCCGGGCGCTGCAGCGCGAACCGTCTCGCATGGCGTCGTGTTTGCCGGCGTGGGGGCAAGTAATTTATTAGCTTTTCTTAAGTTTCAGTTGGTCAACACCGAAATTTGACTTAAGCTTTCCTATTAGCTTAAGTTCGCCCCCCATGGCCCCGACCACGCCAAGCTCATACGGTCGAGGTATTGGAGGCATGTCGCCCACGACTTAAGTTTGGCTACACTTAAGATGTATTACGCCTTAAGCTTTACTTCACACAACTTGAGAACACAAACAAAAATATATTAAGTTGTGAAACTGAAGCCAATCCGAGTTTGTAGAGGACTTGAGTTTATAGATGCTCAAGTTCTTACAGCTTGAGCTCGTAGATACTTAAGCTCCGTCGACTTCAGTTTACAACGAATCTTAAGTTTACCGTGTCAGTCAGCACATCAAGTCAAATGAGCAAGACCAAGCACACACCTCACTTCCTGGGACGCTTTCCGCGTCCACTCAACTGGTCCTCTGCCTGACGCTTCGCCGTACTTCTGGTTGAGCGAGCAGGCGCGGACGCTGCCGCCGCCGCTGCCCTTGTTGCACGGGGAACCACCGGCCCCGGAGCTGCAGTCTGTTTTGCAACTTTCCGCTTCCCACGACGCGGAGGGGGACTGGGAGGCGCAGGCGCGGGACTGGGAGGCGGCGTGTGCGGGGGTGGTGTCTGGTGGGGAGACGGAGTGCGCGGAGGCGGAGTACGAGCAGGCACAGTACGAGGAGGTGGAGTGCACGGCGACGGAGTACGAGGAGGTGGCTTGCGGAAGAAACCTCTAGTCCCAGGGCCAGCAGCCGCTGCTAAAGCTCTCGCCAGGTTGTGCCACTCATCCCGCGTTAGCTCGGTGAGCCCCGTCTCGGCGAACTTGGCCTCAAATCCCGCCGGCTCGTAGAAGTCGCCAGGTGCGGTCGCAATCGAGCCCCACGGAATGTCTTGAGTTCCAAAGGCCGCGTGGGCCCATAACCTGTTAGAATCAGGCAGGCACAGAGAACTGAAGTCAACAGTAAGAACTCTGTGTATTGCCAAAATGCGAAGTAAGTACTTGCCTGAAGTCAACAGTAAGAACTGAGGACTCAGGACTACAACTAGCTGCTTATATATGTATCCTATACGTATAGTAAGCAGTATTATGAACACTCAGTCAGCCTGATCAATAAGCAGGTGATCAGTAAGCAGATCAGTAAGCAGGTGATCAGTAAGCTGATCAATAAGCGGAGATGATCAGTAAGCAAGGGAAACAGTAAGCAAATGTAAGTAAGCATTGGAGCGGACAGGATCAACCCACACTGCAACAAGCCTTTGGTGTCTTTGACGTCTTTTCAAAGATGCCAGAGACGCCACAGCAAAAGGTGTACTTTTGCTGAGGTTTGCGAGTCATCTTTCCCGCATCTACTGGCTTTTTAGGACGTTTCTCAGGTACTGGGGATCCCTTTGCCCTTCTCTCTTGCCTTGTCGGAGGGTCCGCTTCACTGTATATGAAAACGTCCATACCTGAGTCTTTTTCCAAGTCCCTGATATATTGGTTCAATAATTGTGCAGCGTCCTTATCCTCCTTACGGCTTCCTGAGAGGCGCATAGGTATGCCATCCTTTGGTCCGCTTTTGTTGCCTTTTTGCCCTCATAATACTGCTTACTATACATATATAAGTAGCTAGTTGTAGTCACGAGTCCTCAGTTCTTACTGTTGACTTCAGTCCTCTGTGCCTGCCTGATTCTAACACATATCACTGCATAATATCTATGTATAACATGGATATAATATCTATGTATAACATGGATATAATATCTATGTATAACATGCATATAAGCAGCCACTAGCTAGTTGTAGTCAGTTCTTACTGTTGACTTCAGGCAAGTACTTGCACATTTTGACAATACACAGAGTTCTTACATGCTTGCCTGATTCTAAGAAAAAGTCCTTGAATAGTTACACTTGTCACTCAACTTTCCTTTGCATGACAAGCTGAATGCTATACTGACCTCTGCTGCTTTCAGCCACTTTACAATCTACCTGAAAAACAATGGAGATGAACTTGGGTACCTTGAAGGATACAAAGACAACCTTAGTCTTAATGTTTACAGCTTGACTGTATCTATGTTCACACGTTACACTAAGTAAGTCTTCTTGCATCTGCATGGAAAAAAAATCAGTGAGGAGCAACAAACAACACAGAAATTCTGAATCACTAACCTATGAATGCAGTGTGCACAGCTGAGTAGAGGTACTCACATGCTTGCAATCGTTGCCCAGTACATGAGGTGCTGACTCCTGAGAAATATACGCAGGTGAGGGTACAGATGTGAGAGAGCTCCTTATCTCGTGTACTATATGATCAATCAAAGCTGATAGCTGGAGAACAGACTACACATATAGATTTCTTTTTCTTAAAACTGTGCAAGCATACAACAGACCAGTTGATTTAGAGTTCCTATCCTATTGATTACCTTGGCACACTTGTGTCAGTATGGCATCAGTGGTGTAGCGGTAACATTGGGTCTTCCCATCTCCTGTAACTTCATTGGCCTAGCTCCGGGTTCGACTCCCGGCTGATGCACTTTTTTGACCTCTCTCATACCAATTTATCCGATTACAAGAAAAAACCCAGTGACAGCAATCCATCCCTCTCGCTGCAGCACTCGCATAAGTTCCAAGAGGATTGAATACTGGATGTGCTTACAGTGCTTGCTCAGCTATTCATTCAAGTCTGAAGTCAGTGGTAGGGCTCTCCACGCTGAATATGTGTTCGACCATGAGGTCGAAATCCCCTGAGATTGGCGGTTATGATTGTTTAAATATGTTTGTCTGTTGTCTCTCTCTCTCTCTCTCTTTCTACCAGTTGTCTCTCTCTCTCTCTCTCTTTCTACCAGATTCACACTCTCCCAGCCTTCTTCTCACCCCTCATGTAAGACGAAACCGTGGAATACAAATCCAAATCCGTGGAAGTCATTGACATGGAAGACTTGGACACCTCAGAGTGCGAGTCTGAGTCCGAGATGTTAGAGATGGAAGACTTTCAAGACAATGCGCCTGTACCCGCACCTCAAGCTACAACAGCTGGCCCCTCAAACCTCCGTGTGTCGCTACATCTTATCAACTATTCTCCTTGCCTCACACCCTGTCTGTCAGTCGTGTACAATATCTGGACCACAATCTTTCACGACTACGTTAACTTCACTCGCGAAAATGCTGTTAAATTCCAATACCTATGCAGTGACTTTTGCGCCATCTTCCGCCCATCCATGTACAGGCATGTGAACCTGCGTAGTCCAAAGGATGCTATCACCTTCTTCACCGCGCTCCACCGCTGGCCCTATCTTGCTCCTTGTGTTCTCTCCCTCCAGCTTACATTCAGTCTCAACCCGTACAGCGATGTCCCGGCTGAGGTCTGGCGAGGCATATACCCTTACTCTGGAAGCTGTTCTGGTTTCGCTTCTGCCAGGCTTTGCTCTTGATGACCTTGTCATCCCTTACGGTCAGCTTTGCACATAACGACAACACTATATTGGCCAGGCTCATCCGCAGTGGACAGGTGGCTGATTCTTTACCATCATCGCTCACGATTTTTTGCACCTACAACCCGTCCCCAATCAAGACTACAACCCCGACAAGATAAGTGCTTTTGTTGCAGTGTGGCTATGGACTCTACCATTCTCCCATCTCTGATCCCTTGATCCTATCTGTTCCGATGCTTTACTTACATTTGCTTACTGATCATCTCCGCTTATTGATCAGCTTACTGATCACCTGCTTACTGATCTGCTTACTGATCACCTGCTTATTGATCAGGCTGACTGAGCGTTCATAATACTGCTTACTATACATATAGGATACATATATAAGCAGCTAGTTGTAGTCCTGAGTCCTCAGTTCTTACTGTTGACTTCAGGCAAGTACTTACTTCGCATTTTGGCAATACACAGAGTTCTTTCTGTTGACTTCAGTTCTCTGTGCCTGCGTGATTCTAACAGCTTTTCCACGTGTTTTCTACAACACTGATGTCCTGCTCACAGGATCTCCTCGATGAAGGTCCCTGGGACAAGGCAGCGTAGCGGCTTCATATCACGCAAATCGGTTTAGACAAAGGGGACCACATGCGCGAAAGACGAAAGCTAGACGGTCGCTGCCGGGTAACGGGAAAATTAGCCGTCAACCGGGGGAATTGCGAGGGAACAACTGGAGCGCGCTGCACTGCGCGCATGTATTTCCCCTGGGGTGGTCAGCTGAGTGGAAAGTCAGCAACTACTAGTACAGCCTGCAAAAAATCCACTGATAGATGCTGTCGCAGATGCAGCGAATGTTTAGCACGGACGCCTTGCAGGTGATAAAAAAGCTATCTCTGCACGTCAAGGACTCGAGCGTAAACACTATGCTCATAGATGCCCGAGCCCACGCCTGGTTTGACGACTACTGTTTTGGCATTTGGCCAGTGCAGGAGGATGGCAAATGGTACGGCAAGCTATTCCGATTTGAGCAGAGTCGGTGTGACATCGACGGGTTGTGGCTCCTGGCCGCAGCGCGGCCGCCCAAATATGCCTATCCATCCCTTGGGCAACCGGAGACAGCCGAGCAGCGTGAGCTGCGCAAGATGGACGAGAGAGAGCGGGAGGAGGACAGGACGAGATGCGACCTAACACAGGAGCCGGAGCTCAGGGAACTACTGACAGTGCATTTCAAAACATGTCTTCACTGGCATGTGAAGGGCATGGGGTGGGCCAAATAGATATGGTGTTGTATTTGCTCGTCAATATTCACCGTCACGGGATTTTTGTTTGAATGCGCAACCCACTTTTCCGCCACAGATTTCTGAACACGATGGCGACTTTATTCTTTCCCCTAACTGGCACTGGGCACTGAAACGTTGGTCCTTCAGCTGCGGGAAAGAATTATCAATCACCTTCGCCCGAGGTCGCGACTACAATGGTCAGAAGCACGTTGAAATTGAAACATCTTCTCTTCCCTTGATAATTTCCTACACAAGTCACAAAGATGGGGAAGGCAGGCCGAGGCGGATTGCACATCTAGTAGGTACTTCCGAAAATTTGAAGACATGTTCTGACCCTGGGGCTTGATTTCCACGGCCATCGTCAATAAATTCCCCCCCTTGCGGCGACTCACACGACCGTCCAAGTGACTGGCACCTGGAATATAGATGGTTCAACGGACGGTAGTTATTGGTCGGTTATCCAACGGAGGTAATTCATTCATTCATTCAGAACATTCTACACACGTACTTTCACCTGGCCTTTCTTCTTTTCATCAGCCCAAATGAGCACAATCCAATCTTGCCTTTCTTTCTTTCTTCCCCTGTGCGTCGTTGCTGGGTCCGAAGGAGGGAAAATGCGCACCCACGACCCGGCTTCAGCTTCTCGGATTGAGGATCATATCGATGAGGTTCTGCGCGGGCAGACAAGGGAGGAGGGGCTCACAAAACAGTGTGTTGGTACAGTCATGTACAATCTTCTCGTGGTTCTCCTCAGTTGGGTTTTCCTGACGGAACTAGTTAGCCTGGACATATTTGGGACTCATCGAGAGATTGACAAGCACTCTGGGCTCCTTGGAGGTATTCTCCTTTTGCTTGTTAGACCGTCGTCATTCGGGTGTTTGGCCTGTACAAGAGTAACACCGAGGTCGTTCAAATGCTTAGTGATAGTCCTCGGAAAGCATTTGAAGTGGGCAGTCAGTTGTTGGTGCACACACAGGAGGTTGGAGAGCTTCTTGCTGATTTCCGAATCTTTCATGGTGGTTGGTAGGGAACAAGTTTTGACAAAACAAGAGGTCCGTGCACGGTGGCGGTGCGACGTCCATTTGTTTCTGGCGAAAGCCACCACAAGTCTCGACGCCTTGTCGGTGCCGAGGGCACTCCCGCCGCTAGCAAATGCCAAACACCAAGATGGAGCTGCACTGGACTGGGTAACACCGCTCCGAGAGCCCGCAGACCGATCATCGGCCATTGACCATACACGGGGTCAGCGACTATCGCTCACCGCCGACTTGTAACTCGGAACTGTACTCGCACCACAGCTCCACAACGTGTTGCGTCATCTCCGCAGGCGCAGCTCACCCCACCGACTCGTTGAAGACCTCTATCGCGACGTAGTTCCATAGTGCGTGTTTTTCCTGCTCCTGACTACCCTCACGTTTGCTGACAGTCCCCTCCCTGTAGTGCCTCCCAACTCGACCTTCGCCGCGTCTGCATCCGGGCGCTGCAGCGCGAACCGTCTCGCATGGCGTCGTGTTTGCCGGCATGGGGGCAAGTAATTTATTAGCTTTTCTTAAGTTTCAGTTGGTCAACACCGAAATTTGACTTAAGCTTTCCTATTAGCTTAAGTTCGCCCCCCATGGCCCCGACCACGCCAAGCTCATACGGTCGAGGTATTGGAGGCATGTCGCCCACGACTTAAGTTTGGCTACACTTAAGATGTATTACGCCTTAAGCTTTACTTCACACAACTTGAGAACACAAACAAAAATATATTAAGTTGTGAAACTGAAGCCAATCCGAGTTTGTAGAGGACTTGAGTTTATAGATGCTCAAGTTCTTACAGCTTGAGCTCGTAGATACTTAAGCTCCGTCGACTTCAGTTTACAACGAATCTTAAGTTTACCGTGTCAGTCAGCACATCAAGTCAAATGAGCAAGACCAAGCACACACCTCACTTCCTGGGACGCTTTCCGCGTCCACTCAACTGGTCCTCTGCCTGACGCTTCGCCGTACTTCTGGTTGAGCGAGCAGGCGCGGACGCTGCCGCCGCCGCTGCCCTTGTTGCACGGGGAACCACCGGCCCCGGAGCTGCAGTCTGTTTTGCAACTTTCCGCTTCCCACGACGCGGAGGGGGACTGGGAGGCGCAGGCGCGGGACTGGGAGGCGGCGTGTGCGGGGGTGGTGTCTGGTGGGGAGACGGAGTGCGCGGAGGCGGAGTACGAGCAGGCACAGTACGAGGAGGTGGAGTGCACGGCGACGGAGTACGAGGAGGTGGCTTGCGGAAGAAACCTCTAGTCCCAGGGCCAGCAGCCGCTGCTAAAGCTCTCGCCAGGTTGTGCCACTCATCCCGCGTTAGCTCGGTGAGCCCCGTCTCGGCGAACTTGGCCTCAAATCCCGCCGGCTCGTAGAAGTCGCCAGGTGCGGTCGCAATCGAGCCCCACGGAATGTCTTGAGTTCCAAAGGCCGCGTCTAGGATATATGTCAATAAGATCCCCCCTCAGATAGCGTGCAAAAAAAAACACATACCGTATGATCGTACCAGATAATCACACACCGTCTGTGCCAAAGTCTTGTGCCCCGTGTCGTCGAGTGCCGCCAAACTCAGGGGAAATACAGGTGGCGGAGCCTGTGCTGATTTTTCCCGGGTGGCAACAAAATCTGCAAGTTAACGGTCAGCATAGCTCGAGGCGAAAGTCATGCGTCCTACCTTTCAAAGGCTTTTCCGCCCAGATGTACATCTTGTTGATCATCTCGGCGGCTTGGTCGGGGAACTGCTCTGTGAACGGTTGCGCAACGACGATGCCGCTCGGGATAGCTTCAGCCCTGCTCCATGGTGAGTTGTGCGCGCAAAG